TTTTTTTTTTTTTTGAATCTGAACTTAACTGCACCTCCTGCTTGTGTGTGTGAGGAATGACAATAATGGAAAGCAGAGGAGATCTGATTGGGAGTGGCTTTGGATCTCAGGTTTTCTCTTTTGCCTTGGTCTTTATTGGTAAGATTTCCCTGCTGGAGTTCCAAGCCTTGGAGACTAGTGGGACGTTCTGGAGCAGTGAAGACTTAGCCCCAGTTGAGAACCAATTAAAAGAACGTTTAAACAAATTTGCTTTAAAGAAGCAGTGGGACCTGCCAGAATGCACCTGTGAGTGTTGAGTGAGCTGGTGTCATAGCAAAGCCACTCTGAATTATTCTGGAAAGACTGTGAGAATAGAAGATGGTTCCTGATGACTGGAAGAAAGTAAATGTCACTCTTGCTTCCAGGAAGGGCTAAAGAGTCTGAGGATTTACAGAGTGATCAGCCTCACATTGATCCCTGAGCAGGTAATGGAGCAGATTCTCCTATGAAGCGATTTCCAAACAAATGACAAGAAAGTGATTAGCAATAGTCATCATGTGCTTGGAACAACCTGTGAGCCTTCTGTGATGAAATGATTAGATTGGTGGATGAGGGAAGAGCAGATGATAACTTTTTTGATGTTTGACTTTGACAGTGCTTTTGACATTTTTCTGCTTTAACACCATCACTGACAATCTAGCTGATGATGCAGTCTACCTCACTGAGCCTGTACAAGTTTGCTGAAATGCTGGGTTCAAACAGTTGTGAGAGGTGGTACAAAGTCCAGCTGGAGGCCAATTACTAGTGGTCTGCTCTAGGGTTGAGAGTAGGGGCTGGGCTGTTTAACATCTTCACTGATGTCCTAAATGATGGGACAGAGTGCACCCTCAGCAAGTTTGCAGGTGATAGAAAATTGGGAGGGGTAGGTGGATGCCACAAGAGACAGTTGTGGTGCCATTCAGAGGCATCTTTGACAGGCTGAGGAAATGGGCTGACAGCAATCTCATGTTCAAGAAGGTTCAACAAGCAGATCTGATAGAAGGGTGTCTGCATCCCAGCACTACCATCCCCATACTTCATTGTTTGTACCCTTGCTGGTTGTTTGCAGACTTCTTGTATTAGGGCTTGGGCAGCATACTGCATACTGGTGTGTAAATGTGGTGATTAGACTGAAAATATGCAAAGCTGTTTGGAGAGAACTATCAAAATCATGGAGAAGAATGTGATAACAAAACTAAAACATTTATTTTTAAGGGTGCTTGAAGTGTCAAGGAGGTGATTTTCACATCTCTGGACCATTATCGAAATGTTATTTGATGTCAGAGTTCAATGAAGCACGGAATGTGAAAGTGGTTTTAATCGCAGCTTATGTAATGGTTTGCCCGTTGTAAACTTAAAGGGTCACTGCTGTATAGCCCTGTGTTGTTGAACTGATGGTCTATTATATTTAGTACAGTCAGCCCTGCTGCCACAAGTCGCATGCAGTTTTTAAGTTATTTCTTTGTGAAAATGAAACATCTTGTCCGCATGTCTTCAGAACTAGTGTTGCCACTTTATTATTGTTTGCTTAAGCATATCTTTCTAAAGATTTCATCCGTCCTGGTTTGCAGTTCTCATCTGAAGAAATGTTTTAGCTGGAGTTAATGGTTGCACAAAAAGTGGATTGTGAAGAGACAAAGTCTTTGAGTATGAAGGCTAAGAGGAGTGTTAGGAACAGACTCAAGTTGTCTGTGTTTATGGATAAGCAAAACAGGTTTAATAGAACTGTTGGGATGTTAAGGATCTTCTATGTAGCCATATAAATCATTTGATACAAGAAATTGGAGTCCAAAAGGAGGACTTGAAGATGACTTGGATTGTCGTGCCCAAAGTGTATGACCTTAGAAGTGGATAATAGTTCACAAAGTCCAAGATAAAAGCTGGTAATAGCTGTATGCTACAAACGACGCTCTTTTCTGCTAAAAAGCCCAGTGTGTCAATTTCTCTTACTTAAGAGTTTTGTGCTTGTCTGTTGTAGTACATCTTTATCATGGTTTGAGGCTATGACATCCTTCTGTGGCTTTGTTCTTTCATGAACGGTGGTGTATGACTGAAAAAGCCATCACAAACTTTGTCAGTCATAGGTAGTCTGTGGAATGGAGGCACTCATCAACATAGTTAAGTCAAAACAAAAAATGTAGCTTGATTAATGTGATTATGCAAAGAAAAATTTTAACTTGGTGCCACTAATACTTGACACAAATGTTCATCTATACACACAACACCTACATGGGCTTCTTTTCACTTTTAGTTACTTATCATCTTCTTACTTACGTTTGTTTGGCAGATTTGGCAGAGCTAAGTGTGGATTTTATTAGTACATCAGTGATAGATGTTCACATGTATTCATTTAGATAATGAAATTGCAGAAGTATCACAAGTTTGTATGAGAAAGCAGGTCTAGAAATATTGCTCCATATAATCTGTGGATTACAAGGTACTGTTTTATAACCACTTTTAAAGGGACATTCTCAAGCTTATTTATAAACCATATTTCTAAAGACTTAAATTTGCTACAACATTTTCTGTTGACAAATATACCTAAGTGCCTATGCATCATTATACTGCAATCAATTGGAATCAGCTCAGCAATTGCTTAGATAATCTTTATTGGAAGGAACATGTCAATGGAAAGAGGTTCCTGTTTTAATCCTAATAATGTAAGCTGGAATGTGTGCTGTCTGCTGGATGTTATTTGAAGTGAATGCCAGTAATTCTTATGATAAAATCAGTGATATTCAATATGTCAATTTCAGGAGATACCAGCTCCACCCCAGAAGCTCATAGGAAACGAAGTCTGGAAAATCTGATCCAAGATGAGACTGTATGTTGGCCCTGGAATACTTCTCACCCCAAATCTGGGTACCAAATTCTGGAAGTCTGTCTGCCTGCCCGCCCTTAGTTTTATTTCTTGTCTATGAAATTGATCTTAGAATTTTAAGATGCCCTTGGCAGGAAAATAATAAGAAAAATATTTATATAATTGCAGCTGTGTGGTTCTTCCTCAAGTATATACTTGATTCCAGATGTCTGGATTCAGTCAGGAATATAATGAGGTTGATTTTCTTTTTAAAGGGATGGCAGCTCCCTGATATGGGCAGTCAAGTGACTGTGTAGTTTGCTAAAGATTCTGAAGTGTCAGTACAGTTAAGTGTTTCAGCAGAGGGGATTTCTCGTTCCAAACAGGGGTGATCATGGCACAGTGTAATATGTGAACCATAGCATTACAAGCAGGTAAACAGTCCAGAAAGTTACAAAAATTCAGCCAAGGTTTTTTGATAAACTTTACTCAGTCTGAAATTGGACCTCAAGAACTTTTACACTTAGATCTTGCTAAGTACAGTTAAAGGTGAAGCCTAAAAATACAATGAAAGCAAAACAGCTTTGTAACAACTCTTAGAGGAAGTGATTTTCTTTTTTGCTGCTTTCTTGTACAAAGCCCAAGTACCAACTCAGGCTTATAAATACTTTCCATTTACTAACGTATTTTATGGCTATTTAAAATAGCATTTGTGAATTTAGCAGTACTTTTAGTTCCTGAAAAATAGAGATCTCAGTCTTGTTTTGCTTTATAGGAAAGGGTGTGTATATATTATAAGGAATGTAACCAGAATCTGTAAATCTTGACATGTGATTTATTCAGTCTGGATTATGTGATTTGCTTTGTCATTGTGTAAAAAGTACAGTATGGAAGTGTGCTTCAGTGTTTGAACTAGGTTTTAATATATGCAAGCTCAAATTTGATTCTCTTATTGTCTCTGTGTTTTGCTGTGTGTCGCTTGCACAATTCTCTTTGCTATTTGATAAAATGACATTCTGTCCCTCAGAAATTCTTAGCAGAATTTTAATCTTGAGAAGATAAGACTTGCTGACCAGTAAAGCAGTAATTTTACTTAGAAGGGAAATTGGTAAAATACTGCCAGTTCATTTAGAAGCCTTGCAATTTATTGTTGACCTGAACAACTTTTTCTATAAGGACTTGGTGCCAGTACTAAGAAAAAGGGAAAACGAGCCTGATCAAAATACTTGTTGAACTTGTTCCCTATGTCATGGGGCATGCCTTGTTCCCTCCTCACAGGTTTGGGGATATAGCCCAAAAAGGGGGAACATAGAAAAAGCCACAAAAGCAGTAAACATCTGATTTTTTAATTTATTTTTTTTTTAAATCAATGAATACAGATTCCTTAGTGAACAGAACTGGACTATATTCTAATAAATTCAAATCTCTATATTGGAAGAAATAGCAAATAAATACATTGTTCTGCTAAACCATTTTCAGCAAACATGTAACTTCAAAACAGAATGGATGTAAAACATGAAAGCTTTTACATAAGACCACCACATAGTGAGTTTAGCAAATCCATTGTTTCCAGTTCCCTGCAGCTGCAGAAGTGGACAAGTTCACCAGGATTTCTGAAGTGGACAAGACTGGGTTAGAAAAGCCTCAGTGTTCTTAGACAATAATTATTTTGGAAGCTGAAATAAGTAACTAGCAAAACTATATTTATTATCCTAATCTCCAAATTTGCACACTTGTTCCTGCTTTCCTGACAGGATGTTTTGGAGGACAGTGTGTCCCTCCCTTGAGGTCAAGCCAGGACAGGGAATAGATCTTCATACTCAAGAGCTAGAGCCATTTTAAACAATGATGCACCTTTGATATGTGATTGTCTGCAGAGAAGAGGGGTATCAGCTACAACACTTCCTCATATTGTTGTGTGTTCAGAAACATGTCACTGCTGAAGTCTCAAATCTTTACAAAGTCCATGTTGTAAACTGAAGTGTGTGCAAAGCTGTAATTTATGAAAGATCAATTTCTCAAAGACCTTTGTACTAATGAGTTTAAAATTCTACCCTTGCTCTGCAGATATAGTTTAGGAGGTTGTTTTACTGCATGTGACACAGCTCTTTTAAGCATAGCAAGAAAAATTTTGAGGGGGATTTTTTTTTCTGGTTCCCCATTCCCCCAAATTGTTACTCTTAATTTATATTCTTCAAAACTATATAGATTAATTAATAAACAACTTCATAATAGAATTAGAAGGCTGAGTTGGTGGGATTTTTTTTTCTTAATTGTTTTTAAGGCTGTGTTTTCTGCTGGAAAGACTTTTTAACTTTCTTCTGTGGAGCATCTCCCTTCTCTCCTTATGGGGCTGTGAGTTGGTGTTAGGTGAGTGCTGCTTCTGGATTACTTGAATTACTGCTGCTCATTACATAGGTTTCCCAAGTTGAAGGAGTGTCACTAGTTTCATTTCAGTGTCATGGATGTAACCTTTCAAGAACTATTTGACGCAAGGATTGCGGGAGGTATTGTGCCAGCTAATGAAGATTGGGCTTTATTTGCTCACTGGCCTCCACACTAAATTCTGAACCAGCAGTTTAATGTGCTTTCCTGGGTGAGCACTCTGCTTATGGGGGTGCTGGTCTAGAAAATCTGTCCTGAAAGTGTTGTCCAGAAAAGCCAAATCCCATTTTACTGATGGCACATAACACACTTTCAGATGAGTGCAAAGGACGTGTCTTTGTAAATGAAAATGAAATTATGAAGGCGGATATATGTGTTGTGGTGTGGTGGTGGTGTGGTTTTTTTCCCCTGAGATCTGAATGTAGATCTGACCTCTGATTACAACTGAAATTGCTGCCAGAAGATCTAATGCAATGGTTTGATAAGTGGTTAGTTCTCTTGGGAGGAGGGTTGAGAATAAATATCAGTTTTCATAAGAGGTTTGATTCTTCTTTTCCTAAAGGCAAAAAAAAAGGGGGGGAGGGGGGGGGGGGAGAGTAGGACAAGAAACTGCTCTCTTCAGGCAGTACATTCTGCTGACCAGAATGTCCTTTGAAACAAAACCATTGTTCATACAAAGCTGTAGGCTTGCTTAAAGGTAGAAGTTTTATGTACTGATATGTGCTAGGAAATTAAGATCTAATTAAGAAGTGGTTGACTTGCAGAAAGCCACATGCCATCTTAAGCTAAATATGCTTTTCTAATAGAAAAATTATGCAGTAATTAATAGCATCTAAAAATTTCAGCTGGGATTATCGTTACTTTGTAATCCTTAACTGTGCTAGGCATAATTTTAGTGCATTTGTGGCAACTTTAAGGCAAATCTTTTCCCTTTAAAGGGGATAAAAAAATGGGAAAAGGATAGGAGAGGAAATCATAGGAGGGTAGGCTATTTGGCTTAGATTTAATATTCACAATGCAGTGGTGTGTTGACTGCGATGTTGGAAACTTTCTATTAGTACCTTCAGGGAGATGGGGAGAGGGGATTATAGCTGTGACTTTCCTACTGAGAGGCTTTAATTTTGATTTCCACAGAAATGAAGAGGACAATTGTCCACTCTTGAGCCTTTCTGAATATAAATGCGATGTTGCCTTTCATTTACCAGATTGATGCTATGGGTTGTTTAGTGTTTTTTGGTTTTTGTAGCTGAGAAGTGCTTTCTTTCCTCTGCTGTTTTTAATGGAACAGAAAATAAAGATTTAAAAGGCATGAATTCTCGTTGAGGCTGGGGTTTGCAGAGGCACTTTGATCTGTCTCTCCTTTGTGTGGGTTCCCGAGGCTGGAATTCAGTCAGGACAGTGGGGCAACCCACCTGGGAAACTGATGGAAGGGCAGAGCAGAGCGGCGCTGGGCTCTCCAAAACCCTTTGTCCTCACTGCACAAAGTACATACAGTACTAATCCAAGCTCTTCAACACATAATCCCAAGTGTAGTAGTGATTTGGATCGATTTGCTTCAGGAAGCATTTTTGTGTGTGGACAAAGGGAGTGAGATAAGACTGCGTAAGAGCCCAGTGTTCTGCAGTGAAACTTTACAAGTTAAGCAAGCTGGAGGTCTGGCCCTAACTTACATTTTGCCATTAATACAGGGACTTTATTCTGTACTTTGGTTACCTGATGTCTGGTGGAAAGAGTTCGGGGGTTTTGCTTGGTTTGGGTTTTTTGTTCTTTTTTGGTTGGTTGTTTTTTGTTTGGTGGTGGTGTTTTCCCTTCTTGCATTTATTTGTCTATAGGATATTTTGCTGTGAGTGCATGTGTTCAAAACATAGCACTTTGGTATATGTTTAAATAGTAATTGATGTTGGGGGCGGGTATTTCCTGATACTTCATGATTGTTTAGAACCAAGTTAGTCATCATTGGCCAGGAAATACCAACTCCAGATTACATCAAGTTCAATTATCTAAAAGATAGTTCAGTGTCTATCTGAATGTGGCATAGTGTCAGAGATATTGTGTTTGTAATAGCATCTTGTTTTGGTGTTTAATTATAGAATAAGTAGCGGTATTTGGGTTCTGTGTGCTATAAATACGTCTTGTTGGAGTCACTGCCTCTCCTGCCGCTGGTTTTGGAAAGTGATCAGGCAATATTGCTAAAACTCAAATTCTGCAACTGTAAGAATTGCTTTTGGATTCTCAAATTAAAGAGTGTTTGCTGCTCTTCCTCCTTCCTGCCTGGCAACCACAGTTGCCATTTGTGTCAATTTTACAGTACACTTCAGTTGGGGATTAAAATTTAATCTTTTCAAGTTGATGAGGTTCAATTCCACTTTCTGAATGGTAGAGATGATTTGTGAATCCTCAGGAAGGTGTTTTTTCCCCTCAGGAGTCTTACAAATCGTTTGTTCCCCAATGATGTTTACATCAACATATGTTCTTCACTTTACAGATGGTATTGGTGCATGTATGTGCTTTTTCCATGTCATTGATGTAAGGTTAAAGGACTCAGATTAGAGAAAAGTGGTATTTTATTCTCTCCACCTCCTTTATACAAATTGAAGGAGGGGCTTGTTTTGCTTATTATTCTTCCCTACCATAGCAAAAAACATGCTGAGCTTGTGTTGGATTTTCACAGCAGCTCATAAAACGTTTTTTCAAGGTGAATTACTAGTCTTTTGATAGGGTTAAACAGATGCCATAATAAACTTTTAGATGACCATTTAAGACATCTTGAGAGATAAAATACCAGTGAGGCTGAGTAATGTTTTTTTTTTAATCCCATTCATCCTGCTTAGCTCAGTTTAGATAAAGATGTGTCTCCTCCTTGCAGGAAAGGGTTCAGATGTGCTAAATGATAAAGCCTTTTGTATTAGCAGTAAACTGAACTGGTCAAATAAGCTAGATGTTGAGTGTATAGTAGCTGGTGCATAATGATCTTAATAGCTTTGGTTATGTAAAAACAAAACAACCACCAAATTTCTGATGGTCTCCTATGTAATGATTGTATCTTGTTCCTGTATAGCTTGTGCATTTTTTACTATGCTCTTTTTTCAATATTGAGAACTCTCTTTAGGGCCTGAAATTCCAGATGTAATTTATCATCTTATGTAACACTATTTGAAAGCACTTCCCCAGGTTTTTGTGTGTGGGTATGAGTTCCTGATGATGTTACTCTTCTGCAGTTAGGTAGTCAGAACTTGGAACCTATAAAATAATTTTCCTAGTTAAAACCCAAACAACCAAACTACCAACCCAACAAACATGCTTGCAGAAATTCATTGTTCAATGTTAAGATTGGGCTCTGAATCTTTATCTTAAGATAAGACTGAAGTATTGAATTTAAAGCTTCTTACAGAAGATTAGATTTGATACAGTGACAAGGCAAAATCACTTCTCCAATTGTAGCTATGCTGTTCTGATTTAAGGCTGCTTAACACTTTAATGTGAGAAGAGTAGTAATCCAGAGAAGTGCTCTTATCAAGTAATTATGATTGAAAAGGGGTGGGATATTTTACATAAATTATCTAGAAGAGGAGGTATGTATATTACAGTGAACTTTTTTGTCATGCAACAATGTGTTTAGGCAGGGCAGTGCATCTTAGTGCATGGCAGCAGTATGTTAACTTCCTACAGTAGCAGAGCTGCTGTCTGGGAAGTCTCACTCTTCTGCTGTCTTTGGTGAAGCAAACTGCAGCTGGATGTTCTCTAATTTTCATAAGGATAATTAATTACCACTCTTCTAGGACATGTGTATCTTACCATCTTTTTAAACCCAGTGATAGCTCATACAGGGTTCAATACAGTCATACAGGATTTACCCTTGCTTCTAATCCAGTGTACAAGCATTAGCTTGTACTTTGCATGATAGAGTAAGTAAGTTTAATTAAGAAAACTGGACAAAACCACAGAGTTGATGTATACCAGTATCAAACAACCCTGGTAGTTATAGTCAAATATTGCTTTTTGGTTCTGGAATAAAAAAACCTCGAAAGTGTTTGTAAGTATTTGCAGACCCCTTTTCCAGAGATGCTTATTCCAGATATTTGCTCATGTTGACTAAATATTTGTAGGGAGTTGGGGGGAGGGGGAGGATAGAGGATAAAACCAACCAGTGAGTTCTGTAATTCAGGACTGAAATGAGAAATTCAGGAAATGTCTTTCTTAATCTCTCTTCTGCCTTTTTGGCTTCGTTCTCAGGACTGGTGAATTTTTCTGGCTCTGTGCTTGTAAAAATGTATAGTGGTACTTAACTGTGTAATTGTAGGCTTCTGTGGTTCCATGAAGTATTACACTCCTTTGGAACAGGTTGAAACTTCCTGCTGTCTAGGTTTGTAACTAGAGAATAACTAGATCACTTCTGCACAGTGATTTTTATAGGTGCATGCTGAAGAGTAGAGTGGCTCTTTCAGTCATATGACAAACTTGGACACCACAGGTGAAAGCAGGATTCAACATACTACATGGTTTACACACCAGAGCTGATTTAAAATGTTGCACTGTTGGCTTTACCCTGCTCCTTGCCAGCTGTTTTTGCAAGTTTTCTTAGGCTACCAGCGAGCACAGCTGGAGCTGGCTAAGCTGGCTACAGGCATCTGCTGTAGAGAGCAAGGAGCCTGTGGTGGCCTTGTCCCACTGATGCAATTGCTCAAGCTTTGCAGGAAAGGCATCCTGTCACTGAAGGTCTTGTTTCATTTGTTGTAACCAAGAAGACAACTGTTATTGCCTGCTAATCCCCACCATTTTTCTATGCTCTGTTATGGAATGAATTCACTTTATGAGCACATTAACTGCAGAATAAAGGAAGGTGTTCAGTAGATTATATTTTTAATTTCATGTGGACAGTGTCAGTGCTACTTATGGTGGAATGTAGTAAATGGCAGTCATGGTAAGCTGTGCTAGTTATAGTTACTGTTCCTGTTAGAGATGTCCTAACGTACGATGATTGTAGT